CTGCGGATATACATACAGCATGCACAACAACCAAAACCCAAAAGTATACAATCCGGGTGATACATCAGTTAGACATGAATCATAACTTACAGTAAGTAAAATAAAACCTCCCCCATGCTTTAAAACAGACATCCAATAAAACACGTACTATGTCTTTTGATAGTATGCTCGACCTCTGCTAGCCATGAACGGATCCCCGTATAGAGATTTTGTAGAAAAATAACCAGGCCAATTCGGCCAGCAAGCAAAACCAATTAGGAATCGACAGAATCTAATCCCCCGACCGACACCATCAGTTACCGAAGAGTAGGGCGGGGATTGGGGGGCAGGGGGCGACTCACAGCTGCAGCGCCTCGAGGAACTTGTCGTGCTCGGGCTCGGTCCAGATCTCCCGGGCGTGATGGTGTAGGGCTTCCTGGCCTTCATCCTGGCTTTTGGTGATGGCAGCGACCTTGTTGGGGAGGATGGAGAGTTGGGGAGGCGTCCGAGCAACTTGGAGGGGTAGAATCCAGCAGCAACCATCGAGGACGTGGCTGCCTCTAGCATGGACGAGAGGCCGTGACGAAGGGGGAGTCGGCAAGGTGCAGAGCCTGGAGGAGCCGCGGACGGTGAAGGAGCCCCGGCGGAGCGTGGCGTCATGTGCTCGGAATGATGCCACTGTCGCGCTCCGGGCGCGGTCGTCGGAGGCGCTGCGGAGCAGCTGTGGGGACGAGGCTGCGGTGCCGGCCATGGACTGCAGAGAGAAGGAGGAGGGCGGCGCTACCGAGCGTGATGGTGGATCAGCGGCGGGTGGGTGGGGGTGGCGGTGGGGCATGCCTCGATCGGATCTGGGGGATCGAGGGGAGGGGGAGAGGCCGAGAGGGTGGGTCAGGAGTGGGTGGATGACGACGGTTGGGATGGCCAGGGCAGTATGGGGAGGAGGAGTAGTTGGCGGCGGGCGGCGGGCGGCCACGGATGCTGAGAATGGGCGGGCGGCGACGGCGGAGGAGGCGGAGGAGGATGGGCTGGTGGCGGAGGCGGAGGATGGGCGAGCAGCGGACGGCAGCGGAGGCCCGGCCGTGCTCTGGTCGTTGGGAGGAGGAGGTGCGGGCGTGGGAAAGATCGTGGTGGGGGCGTGCGTGCGTGTCGAACGGGGTGTGCGGGGCTTAATTGTGTGGCTTGTTGTGTTAGGGAGATTAGTGGCTTGCTAGTGTTAAACATAGAGACACCATGGACCATTAGATCTTGATGATGGATGGGTGTGATTGTTTGGATCTGCCCCTCTCTTTCTTTTATAGTGGTAGTAGAGTAGTAGATAGATAGATGCTTTCTTCAAGTCATTACGAACCTGCATGAGTTGTCATATACTCTCCATAGTCAATTTGAACATCCTAATCAAATGAGACATGGTCAATTTGCATTTCAGATTTGTAGTAATTAGCGTAATAGTACAGACTATTCAACAGAGTTAATTGAAACTAATTAATTAATTTGAGATGGTGACTGCAGTGAATAAACATACGCATGTTGTCATTGCCGACCTCCCTGGCGATGTCGCGATGCCGGTCAGCTTGTGTTGTACTCCCAGCACACCTCTTCCAGCGGTCAACGGTGATGTACCCGCTATCGTCCTCATCAAAGTAGGTGAAGGCGGACAACAGGCAATGCTTGTTAATGTGCACTATTGACCCGATGAACTCATCGTAAGCAATGCTTCTGCTACTCCATCTTTCCTTGCCCTCTGAT